ATCCTGATTTTATATTGTTGCAATAGCAATTGAAAAATATTAAAAATAAAAAATGAACAATTTTTTTATAAACATTTAAAGTTCAAGTTTTGACAGCATTTATCAAATTAAAAATTAAAAAATTATTTTTCAAAAACGAATGACTGTAGATATTTGAAATTTATACCATATGTTTAATTTATAAAATCCTAAACTTGATTACATTTTCAAAATATTTTTACTCTTTTGAGCAGTTAATGGACATTTTTAATTTTAAATTTGTTAAGGTTTTTATTTCTATAAATGTCAATACAATGTTGTGTTCTTGTTAAAAAAACGTGAAAATTCAAGGTTCCTGATGTATAGTTCAAATATCAATTAATAAATATTAAAAATAAATTATTTTTGAAAACCATATAAAGGTTATATTTTGACAAAATGTATTAAATGAAAATTTAAAAATGATTTTGTAGTTAAAAATGTATTAAATGATCAAATTTTGTAGCTAAGGATTGAAAATGTAAAACAAGGTTTCTATTAAATAGGTAATCGAAAAATTTAAAAAAATATAAAGACAGTTTTTTTATAGTTATGTTCAAATTTACTTAATCTACATCCATTTTAAATTGATATTCAGTAAATTAGATTCCAACAAGTGAGATATTAGCAAAACGGTTGGATTAAAACTATTAGTCTACTGCAGAAACATTACATGTACCTACAATTATTTTAAATAATAAAAAAAAAAAACAAAATTAATTGTTTTAAAATTATTATCGATTATTATTAGTTATTATTACTGATGAAACAGTTAGTAAAAATACTTTAATTTGTTATATTAAAACATGTATATAAATTATATTTTGCTAAAGATATTTATAATTCTGTTTCCTACAGGATATGAGTTTACGTATATTTTGTAAATACATTGTAACTCTAATAACCATCATGGCTATATAGTCAAAGTTATTTCATGTTGGTATGAAGCTAAATTCCATGCAACGACTGGTAAACTTGGGCCAATATTTATTAATTATTAGTTTCTAGTGGCCTTCTCAATGATTAATGTTAATAATTGTGATACAAGTCAAAAGTTTGGCCTCAATATCAATGAATATACAGTAGAATCTCATTATCCGGACAAATAACTCTGATTGACGGACTCTGTTTGGATTAAACCAAATAACATAACCTATGAAATGGAAAATTGAAATACTCATTCGTATAATTTGTAGGAAATTTTGGATTCTATGTTCGTACCATTGGTTAGGATTTGCTGGTTTTTTTTATCCTGACATTTCGGGAGAAGTACCTGATGCTCCACCACACTCGTGTAGTCTTGTTATCGCTTGTTTGTATATATTTTGTATATTATAAATTATCGTGGTTTCGAATTTTGAACCCAAAACAATATCTAATGGTATAATTTCCATCAAAGATATTCATTAGAAACGAAATTGATGTAATTTTCAACTGTAGTTGAACATTTTGGACGAAACTCATTGGCTAATAACAGCGATAGGATGGATATTTCGATGGAGACATCATACCAGGAGATAACCCCATTAAATACAAATAGGTATTTTTATTAACGTTAGGTTTTGATCTAATCATAATACCTAATTACGATTAAATTGCTATTTATAAAATACCTTACCTATATATATATATATTTACCTTTCAATGTTCTTCAATCAATATTTCATTCACACAAATTTAAATAATAATGTTTTCCCAGTAATAACAATAGTTTAGCATCTGAACTTTCACGTTTCCGAACTAGGTGCGGTCTCAATTAGTACGGATAATCAAGGTTCTACTATTGTAGTATCAAACATCAAGTTGAACATAATAACTGTTTGAATGTAGTTTTTTATACAAGATATGAGTAAGTATGTTATTACAGGTTAAAAATGCTCATGTATCTACTGTAAACAAAAACTAATGTAAGACACAGACTATGTTCTTAACTATGTTTTATAATAGACAATAGATCAATTCAATGTAATATTAAACAAATGATAAATTCTTCTGACTGCCAAACATTAATTTGCTTTGTTGCGTTTGGGTTATAAATAAAAAACATATAGTGCCAAAGTATCTCAATTAATCTGTTATGAAATCAAAGAATATTTTTTTTAATTTCGTTTTTGGACTGATTTATTTTGTTAATTAAAAACATTACACTTACTTCTTCTCAATGTTTAAAAAAACAAATTAGTTATATGTGAAGTGTGTGAAAAAGTACAAGAATGTAACCATTTTGTTTATAATGATTTTCAGATATCCAGATGATGATACAGAAATTGCTTTAACATCTAAAGGTTTAAAATACAAAGGAAAAAATGAATGTTACCCAAATGAGATGCAACTGTATGTATACAGTTTACTATATTACTATTTATTAGTAAACAAATTGTGAAATTGTTAATACAGGGTGTAACAGATAGAACTGACTTTTGGAATAACTTTTGTTATGATCATTATTTTTAATTTTTTTTTTTTATATATAATTTATAGCCACTTGTTCTACACGTGTAAGAGGAAAAAAATTATTTTTATTTTTTTATACTAAAAATAAAAAATTTTAAATTTGACTTAAATTTTTTTGATTAAATTCAAAATAGCAAACTTGTGAATCTGATTATAAGAACGATTTGGATGGTAAAAACATTTATCTAAGTCTAGTAGTTTATTTTTTAGAATTTTTTTAAATATCAATATTTTTTTGATAAAATAAATTTGGAACGCAATAGCTTTTTTAAAAATATTATTTTTGGAAATTTTATAACATGGGTATATTCTTAAAACTATTTACTAATCATATAATTTCAACAATTTTTGTCATACATTTAAGTAGCATCAATTTTTTTTTTTTTGGTCAGTTCTTTCTGTTACACACGGTATAATTAAAAATAAGCAATAATACATTTCAGAGAGGAATGTACATTGTACGTATCACTGGTAGTGAACAACCAAAAAATAAATGCCCACAGAAATGTCTTAGCTTCAAATAGTGACTATTTCGATAGAATGTTTGATAGTTATTTCAAAGAACGGTTCCAAGATAAAATAGAAATAAATATAACTGATGTAAACTTTGAAATGTTGATTACACTTGTTAAATATTTTTACACATCAGAAATATATATTACAGAAAATAATGTAATAATAATTTAGCATCGAAGTCCATTTAGACAAGTTAGTAGTGCCTACTGTTTATATGCTAAAAGTTTTGAAAAAAATAGACAAATTACCTTCAAAATTACAAACAATCATTTTAGATTTTACTATACATTCATTTTCTCTCATTTTGTTAGGACATACTAGTGATAAGTCATTATCCATTTGAATCAACTCTAGAGTGGTATGACACTGCTTTAGATCAATGGCAGAATTACATATGTAAAAATTGTCCGAGTAAAACCTTTCTATGTTGCTTATTACCATCTAGAAATTTGTGTACAGTTATTTTACTCAATGATGGTAGCTTATTTACTGCTGATGGGGGGGGGGGGGGCAATCAGTTACAATTAAAATGCATAGACCATTATAAAAATGTTAGTTATATGCCACACACATAAATTTCTTACAAAACTGTTTTTCACAACAAAAAAACAACTGCTTGGGTGACTATAACAGTCATAGTTAGGAAAACACACAAGTATAATTATTTTCTTCGTTGTTTCGTTTAAACTTCTCCAAATTGTATTTACTATTATAACATTGTTGAGAAAAATAAATTATAAAAAATAATAAAGAACAACATTATCTGTGTTTTGTTAAAAGCTTTTTTAATATTTTTAAATCTAATACAGTTATTTATAACTAAAAAAAAATCAAAAAAATGAATTTAAAGTTATTAAAATACTAATAACTGTTTTAAAAATTAGAATTTAAAAAAAAAGCTTCTAATAGAACAGAAAGTATTATTCTTTAATATTGTTAAAATATCTGCTGTCTTAGCATCTTAATTTTGTTGGTATCATTAGTTTAAATAAGGAATTCTAGTAGGTAATTCTATGCTGTGCAATAAGGTACTGTAATGGATATAATTAGAATTGTATATAATGAAAAACAACACTGAGCAAAGATGAATTATTAACCTTATAGTAACCAAACCGTTAACTTGTTTTAACTTGTTTTTATAATAATACAATTTTCACAAGTTAAAATATTTGGTTCTTTTTTTTTTTGATAATTTTAAAATTTACGGAGGATGTTTTATTTTTATTTCCCAAAAATACCAACTATGCTCCACGCATGTTAAGTGCAAGACCAGTAGTGCAGCTACAACATATTGCTTCACTGCACTGCTTGCTGTACAATTGTAGGCGGTTGACTGCTATTCAGAGAAGCAATCAGGAATTGTTCCAAAGTTTCAAGCAAACAACATTAAATCATCTGCTGCCATTTCATGTACTTAACATGTGTGAAGTATAGTTTAGTATATCCAAATATTCACCAGAAAGAAGCTCAAAGCTGATGAACAAAATTTTTACTACTAGAAAAAAGTGTATTTCACTCAGAAAAAAAAAACATATTTTAGAAGAATAACTTTTTGTACGAAAAAAAAAATAAAGACATAAACCTACACAGCATGTATAATTGTCCTGTATGTTGATTATCATTTATAACTTTGGTTTCTTCACTATGACTGAAAGCTGAAGTGATAGTAATAAAATAAATTACAATAATCACAATAATATCAATAAATATTATGGGCTCTCTAGACACTAAATGTAGAGCACAGCGTTACCTGCTTACATTATTTTTAGTATTTTAATTTTGATCTCTGGCCATTTTAATGTTTCAAATTAATAAAGGATGTTTCACTTTTAATTTAGATTGGAATGAATGATGAAGCTGGATATTATGACTCTCTTAATCGCAAGTGGAAATATATTAATCTAATACCTGAGTTTAATACAGGTTCGGCGGTTTGCACATTAAATGGAAATATTTATATTATTGGTGGTTAACGTTTGGAAAATTGTTACAAAAGTGTATGGTGCTACTCTATGCTAACTGAAGAATGGGTATCCTTAGCCGAACTAAATTTCTCCAGATCGTTTTCTGGTAAAATTTAAAACTTGGTAATTAATAATATTATTATTGTGTGTTTATAGGTGCGGTAGCAATGAATATTAATATTTATGTATTTGGAGGAAAAATTAGGAATACGTCCAATTCAAATACATTTGAAATATACCATCCTCACAACAACAAATGGATAATTTCAAATGCTTATATTATGAAAAAGGATCTATGTCACATTTATGTTATTGTGATAGAAAATAATTCTGAATTGTTTAAAAAAGCGATTGAAGAAGCGACCTATACTATTATTCATCAAAAAAAACCCAATTAATCACTGAATGCATACAATGATACTATCATATTTTGACTTTGGCATTTATAGAGTACATTCATGTTTGAAATAATACAACAGTTAATCTATTAAATTTAAATTAAACACAAATATATTTATACTTACTTTCATTTTAATTTATATTATAATTACCTAAGCTCGCCTTTTATATAACAAGAAGTTATTAATTCCAAATTTTGAGTTATAAGTATAGAGTTGTATGATGTATATTATATACTTATTATATTAGATATTATACCATGTAATATTTACATTGTACGAGTTTAATTCTTAAATTCCCTGGATAACATACTGTACAAACAAAAATGCATAAGCTCTTATTATTTACTATAGATTATACTTCATGTTTTGTATCATATGTATTATACATATATTTTTATTTACAAAATGTACATTGACAATTGAAATCAATATTTTTGGTTTCTTAAAAAAAAAAATCTGTTTTTACCGACTCAAATCTTACGAATTTTGAAACTGGTTCAAATATGTATACGCTGTTCGTATTGTTCTCTTATTTTGTAGAGTTTATTTGTTTAATCATACCAACCAAATAAATACTATGAACAACGTTTCATGTAAGTATCTTTATGAAAGGTAATATAATTTTAGTCTTCGGAACTCAACGTAAACAAATTTCATAATCCTGATAAAGTGATAATACAACAATTATTTTACTACAATTCAAACTCGGTAGTAAATATATTATATGTATAAATATAGAAATTCCGCTAATATATGTAAAAAATATCGTAGTTTTTACAAAATTATGTAAAAGTTTCACCATTCCAAAATTATCTAGAACTATATTAAATATCAAAAATGCCAATTATAGCATATGGCTAGGATTGAAAACAATCCATCATTAATTTTACTTTACTGTATTCTACATTAAATGTCCATAGTTGCATGATCATCGCTATACCCCAGTGGTCAGCAAGTAATTTCTATTGGAGTCCTAAAGATGAAAATAGTAAATCAATGATGTCCAGTGAAAAAATATTTTTCAAATCTTTATATTTTAAAAATAGCAATATAAAAATAAAAATATTTATTTCGTTATTGCAATTAATTTATATAAAAAATTACAATATTAGGAGTATGAAAATAAAAAAAATATATCTAATACAGTAAACTATTTAATACGAAAAATTGCAATCTTTTCCTTAGCCAGGTTTTTGAAATCGGGAACTCGTGAAGAACAGCTTATGCGGAATGTGTCCTCAAGGTGAGAGAATGTTAATTTTGTCCAATATTTGTTTTTCAAAAAATAAATTTTTGAAAATGATGCCTCACAATTGTATGTCGAACCAAACATAGTAGCCAAAATGACTGCCAGTTGATTACAGTTTGAATACTTGCCAATGGCATCCTTAGTCCAAAATTCTTCAATTGACACACTACTGTACGGCTTCAAGGAAAAATCTTCCTGTAGGTCTATTATTTCCATTTGAAGTTTTGACTTTGAAACATTAAATAATTTTTCAGCTAAATCAGTCCATTCTCCGACTGGAAGAACGTCGTAAAGAGTTTTTAAGAATTGTGACAGTTTTCCTATTTCAGAAAAGTCTTTGAATCTTATCCTTCATAAGATCTGACAAAAAACATAAAAATGTTTCGATGTTTACTATTTCAGAATAATTTTTGCATTCAAATATTGTGGGAAAGTGAATGAATTTTTACAAAATTGACATTTGTTCAGAATCTACTAAGTAACAAGATTCATCAAGCGCAATGCAGTAGCACAATGACTTATGTGAAAGTTCAAATCAGCTTTTTTTGTCCAACATTCTGTCCTTCTTTTGTTACTCCTTGCTACAAAGGTATATTATTTTAAAAAGAGGTAACGTTTTTTTTATTTTCTTGAAAAAGTTCAGTGGCCACTTCCAACATACACTTTTACTATTTCAGAATCGGAAAACAGTTTTTGGTGCTTATTAAGAACCCAGCACGCACGCAACGCTGCTTCAGTTGATTTCTCATGTTCACTCATACACCGTATAAGTTTAGTCGTACAATTTTTTTTGTAAGATAACATAATATATGCATGGAGCTTATTTTTACGCACTTCACTGCCTTTAGGAAATTTTGTGTGAAAATCTTTATGAGTAGTTTCCTAATGCCGTTTTAAATTTCCACTTTTAATAATAGCGACAGTTGAATTGCAAATTAAACAGACTGGAATGGCTCCAACCCTTTCAGGCAACACAACAATATAGTCCAGTCCACTCGTTCATAAACTTCCTATTTTCGCTGTCAATTTTGTGTTTTCTACTCAATATATATTGAACGAATAATATAAAACGAAACACACACTCAGTGTATCCACCTGCGAATGGACAAGTACTAAATCGCTATCTAAATTGTTATTTAGAAAATACTGGGGACAGCCAAATAATACAACAATTTCAATGGATAGCAACGATAGGCAATAAATATAATTTTACGCCGTCAGTTCTTCGGAGTTCTTAGAAAATAATCACAATAATATTTGGTATTGTCTCGACTCGGCCGTCGGCCGATAACATCGTAATAAAACCGATTATTACCTGCCCGATGAAATATTTGCAATGAATTACGATATAACTATAATCTGAGTTTGATACATTTAATTAAATAAGTATTCTCTATTAATTATAATACTATTACTTTAAATGTGTTTACATTGTACAGAGTTTTGCCTTCCGAGGTTCGGATCCGGACCGCGGTCCGCCAGTTGCCAATCCCTGCTATAGCCTATAATGATCCAACACAAGTGGAGTAGATGCTCTATTAATTTACAACTTACACTATAAATTATAGCAGTTTTTAAATTATATCGAAAGAAGAACATGTTATGCATGGAAATGAATACGACAAACAAAATCCCATGACCATGAAGTTAGCCCCCCCACTTTGACGGATTCACTTCAAACCAACGCCAATATTTAGCAAATTAATTGCAAATAATTTCAAATTGGTTTTTAGAATTTGCAAATTTAGTGCACGCTCGCAAACTAAAAAAATGATTTGGGCTGGCTAACTTCATGCAGCCCCCCCCCACTTTGTCCGATCCGTTCCAAACAAACTCCAATATTTAGCAAATTAATTGCAAATAATTGCAAATGGGTTTTTAGAATTTGCAAATAAAAATTGGAATTTTGGAGAATTTTTTTGCAAATTTGGTCAGCCCCCCCACTTTGTCCGATCCGTTCCAAACAAACGCCAATATTTAGCAAATTAATTGCAAATTGGTTTTTAGAATTTGCAAATCAAAATTGGAATTTTGGCGAATTTAATTGCAAATTTGGTCAGCCCCCCCACTTTGTCCGATCCGTTCCAAACAAACTCCAATATTAAGCAAATTAATTGTAAATTGGTTCTAAGAATTTGCAAATTTAGTGCACGCTCGCAAACTAAAAAAATGATTTGGGGGGGCTAACTTCATGCAGCCCCCCTACTTTATCCGATCCGTTTAATTCGGTCTATACCTCTAAAAAAAACGTTTACAGTATAGTAAAATAACTCTTTATACCTAGGCAAATATATTATTATAACAAGATCCTAGTCCTTAGAAAAAATAAGTCTTTTAGGTCCGTTTTTTAGTATAGCTGATATTTTTATCAAACCATACAATTTGTTTGTATTTTTTTTTGTATAACGAACTGTTACTATTAAGCTAACATTTAATACTTACCTATTCACAAGTACAAACGTTTAAAAATATATTGTACTAGGTACCGATTGTAAAATAACTCTAAACGAATATTTAAAAAATAAATAAAAAATAATAAACAAACTAAGTATAACAACTTCTTTAAATCATATAAAAATTAAAATCCCAAAAATTTGAAAACGCTAGTTTTAAAAGAAAATCTTGTATGGCTGTATCATACATTGATTATATTATTTTAATAAAAGGTACATACTATTCTTAATAACTTTAAATATTTCTATACTTACTATTTTTAACAAGATGCAATAATTTCAAATAAAATAACAACAATGCACAAGCTATCGTAAAATATACTAGCAATTAAATACAATATAGGAACATGCGACTGCACTGGACTTCAAAAGAGAACAGAGTCACTGTAATTTTAACTAAATAATATTGTTTTCATTGGGTTAAGTCCTCCACATAATATTATTGTGTAAACGCAAATCGACGACACCCGAGCTAATACGTACAAAATAGAAAAACCCAAAAGAATACAGCACGTGAGTGACAAGGCAACGCGATAAGAAATTACCATATAGTCACTATCTTAAATAATAATTTTTTTTAATAGTTGTATTCGTTTATATTGTAAAAAAAAACACATGGCTATATTTTTTAAACTGGTTATTGAAACACTGTCATTACTTCTAAAATGATAAGTTAAGAACCGTGGAAATTGCTCTGAAGCATAGTGAGTATCGTATGTAGGTATATCTCGTCATTGAGTCGCTGTAATGAATATCAGAATATGATATATTTTAAATCAATAATTAATATTATTTAACATATTATTATAGGTATAACTGATAAATATTTTATGAATAACGACTTTTCGTGGAGACATTCGGTCGAACATTACATAATACGTTATGTGGTACTTAAGTATTATAATTTATAATATTCCGACCTACCTGTAATTTTAGTTTTTTTCGTATGGCGTTGTCGCGTTGAGCCGTTGTCCCGACGGCATAACTAAGTTCTGACGCTATGGACTTATGCATAAGAATAATACAATTTGAATTATAATTAATAATTGTTATTTTTTGTTGAAAAAATATTAAAAGTTGTCAACATTTAAACATGATAATGTAATACAAAAAATATTATAAAAACAGTAAAAATGTAGTTAAATTAGTTAAAATTTATTTTTTGGGGCTGCAAATAGTTGCAAATATTTTTAAAAACTTAGTACTTAGTACTTAGTTTGCAAAATATTGACACCGGTTTGGAGTCGAACGGATGAATTGGCGGGGCTATTTTAATTTGCAAATTCTAAAAACCGATTTGTATATAAATGGTTGCCATGGTGATATGTATAACATATTATTCATATAGAGTTGTCAATTTTAATGGGCAACGTAGTGCACGGGATCAAATATTTTCATATAATAGATAGATTAGAAATCTGGGCAGAAGATAGGCTAATTTAAAAAGGGAGAGGACCAACACCGGGACGTGCTCAAACAGGGATTTTGAGATTTTAGATGGAAATTTTTGTTTATACATGGTATATGGTTTCCGTGGGTTTCAAAGCTATAATAATAATAATAATTGGTTTCAAATTGTTGTTATGGTAACCGTTATATTATACAAAAAAACATATTATTAGTTTTATAGCGTTGGTATTGTCGTATATTGTAGACAGTCGTCAAAATATTATTTCATATATGTAATAGAGGTGGGAACATTTTAAATTGTAAACTATTGACATAGGTCAGTGAAGCATATGTGCTGAGACAGCGATAAGATTACTATATAACACCGCCGCACGCGCAGGCACGAGGAGAGTCCCGTTGTCGCTGAGTGAATCGGCGAGGACGTAGGTACTGTGGTCGTACGTGTGAAACGTCGATCGTAGTACGGGCTAGGCAATCCGGATTTGCTAAGTGTTTAATTTATGTTTGTTTTAATATAATAAAAGTGTTTCCGACCTAAAAACCCGAGTTGAGTTTTATTTCAAAGTCTTCTTCGTTCTTACCTTTAATATTGGAACAGTGCTCAGACCCACACACCTATAGTCAATGAGGTTTATTACAAACTGAACAGTGCTCTGGTTGTGGCGTCCTAATAGTCATTCCAATTTAGGAAACGAACGAAGAACTGACAAAACGCTACCATCGTACCTCAAAGGTTAACAGTGCTAATCTGAATATATTCTAGAGACAGTCATTAGCCTAGAGCGTACGAGGGTAAGGTATAAAGTTGGTTTACCGCGTATTATCCAATACGGGTGATACCACAGTATTTTTAATGGGCAAAGAAGTGCACGGGATCAGCTAGTATTTCATAAAATAATAAATTAATATTTATAAAAAAATCTATACTTGATAAAAAATCTTATTCTATATTTCTATTTTAATCTATGTGTATTAAAAACTAAGTAGAATAAAAAAAAATATGATGGAATATAAAAGACAATTATGGAAAAAAAAAATTATTTGCAAAAGTAAAGCACGAAAAATACAATTTTGATTTGCAAATTCTAAAAACCGATTTGCAATTATTTGTAATTAATTTGCTAAATATTGGAATTTGTTTGGAACGGATCGGACAAAGTGTGGGGGCTGACCAAATTTCCAAAAAAATTCGCCAAAATTCCAATTTTGATTTGCAAATTCTAAAAACCAATTTGCAATTATTTGCAATTAATTTGCTAAATATTGGCGTTGGTTTGAAGTGAATCCCGTCAAAGTGGGGGGGCTAACTTCATGGTCATGGGGCCAATTTAAATATTAATTAAACTTACCGGCTATACCGTGTAGTAAGTTATAACAATTACTTATTATAAAAACTATTTATTATAAATTTATTGAGTTCTACAGTTTTCTAGGGGGGTGAATTTAGTTTTTTAAATCTAGTCTTTCAATACATCCAAAATCTACTTAGTAGTTATTCATTATATTTCAGTCGTAGTGTTCTATCCTCCTGAATTTCTGCCATCTGTTTTTCTTTCTCAAGAGATAGATCATCTGTTGATTCTGCCGAAGTAGAGTAAAGATTGCGCACACAATCATACTTGCCAACTGAGATAGGGGGAAATACTGTTCCATGCTGTCCTCAAGACCTTTTAGGTGATTTAAAACTAGTTGAGGATAGATCCCCCTGAGGATCTATATCAATAATTAAAGGAAAAATCTTTAAACTTTTATTTTCTACATGTCGTTTCAAAACTTGTAGTTTCTTTAAGAACCCTTTCAATTTATCACTTGAGGTCAGGATATTTTCTTCTTTTCCTAAATACTTTCATTTAAGCACTTTAAATGATAAAATATATCAGCCAAGTAAGCTACTTTGGCACAACACTCTGTGTCGTTAAAATACGCAGCAAAGTCTGGGTTTTCAGTACTAAAAAGTTTTGACAGCTCGTTTTAAACCTCATAAAATGTCTGCAGGAGTATACCTTTCGACAACCAGCGTAGCTCTGTATGAAGAACCAGAGTATCATGTTTAGATCCCACTTCATGACACATTTCTTTGAGAACTATTGTCTTCAGAGCAATTTATTTAATGAAATTTACCATGTTTAAAACTAGGTTCAAAATACTTTTCAATTCTGCAGGAATAGCTTTCACCATTAAGTCCTCGCTGTGTATTATTCAATGTGTTGAACTCACAAGTCACTTGACTGCGAATGCGCTTTGTAGTATACCCAATCCCCTACTGACAGATTGATTCTTCTAAATGGGGTACTGGGGGCTTTGTGGCCGGAAACAACCGGATAACCCCCCTCTACCACATTAGCATCATCCGGTTCCACCTGAGAATCTTTGATTTCTACCGGAGGGTTCCGCACTGATCCGGACAACTCCGGATCATTTTTTAATGAGTACGGGCATCCTTCGGCCAGCTCGAGCTGCCAATCTCCAAGGGCCTTGATCTCTCGGCCAATTATCATTTTGGCCGGTGACTGTCCGGCGTTTCGCTTTTCTCTGTTTGACCGGTCCATCTTAAAGAACCCTTTAAATTTATCACTTGAGGTCAGGACATTTTCTTCTTTTCCTTGAATACTTTCATTTAAGCAGTTTAAATGATAAAATATATCAGCAAAAAATATATCGTTCAAATACGCAGCAAAGTCTGGGTTTTCAGTGCTAAGTAAATGGGTACTGGGGATTTGTGGCCGGAAACCACCGGATAACCCCCCTCTACCACAAGAGCATCATCCGGTTCCACCTGAGAATCTTCGATTTCTACCGGAGGGTTCCGCACAGATCCGGACAACTCCGGATCATTTTTTAATGAGTCCGGAGATCTTTCGGCCAGCTCGAGCTGCCAATCTCCGGGGGCCTTGATCTCCCGGCCAATTATCAATATGGCCGGTGACTGTCCGGTGTTTCGGTTTTCTCTGTTTCTTACGGAGAACAACACGTGTGGCAGGTAGACATCCCACAGATGATGAGGCTTATCAACGAGTAAGGTTCGAAACACTCTCTTCAACCCTTGATTTCGCCTTTCTACCGGGTTGGCAAGTCTGTGGTATATTGGAGTCGTCTATCCTTCCACTCCCCACCTCTTTAGTGCGTCTCCCATTGCCTTGGACACGAACTGCGGGCCATTATCTGACAATAATGTCCTCGGGTATCCGAACTGTGGCAACAACTCCCGTTCGAATGTTTCCACAATTGATTTGGTCGTCGCCTTTTCTAAGGAGTACGACTCTACCCAGCTACTGTAACTGTCAGTAACTACAAAAATCGTTGTCTTACAAGGCTGCGTACTTGGGTATGGAAACATAAGTTCGTTTCTCAGCACCTCACAAGGTCGACGAGGGACTCGGGTGCATATCCGATCTTCTGGTATGTTTCAGTAGTTTTACACTCGCACAGACGTCGCACACCCGCACGTAATTACGCAATGTTTCGAGCATACCAGCAAAAAAGAAACGAATCTTTATACTTCGGTACGTTTCTTTCCACACTGGGTGATTCGATACTTCGTGGTCGTGAAACCTTTTAGCAGAATCTGGGCCTTGTCTACCGGGACAACCAAAAACTCTTCTCCATGCGCGATGGATCGAGGGTGGCGGTTCAACACCTTGTCCAGGATGATGTACAACATCCGCAGACGACCGAACCTTGCCCCGTCTCCAGAGAGTTAAGCAACTATCTCCCGTATGTTCGGGTCGTTTTGTTGCCACTCTCAGAAAACTTGCAATGTAACGTTTCCATCATCCCTCTTCGGGTGGATCGCTCCAAACTGGGAGACACCCACGCCGGATAATCCAGACAAGCCGGACAGATCACTGAAGACTCCCGAAGTTTCTCAGGACACTCCGGGCCGAATCACTGGGTTATTATTGATATTATTCTCCCACGATTCTCCGTCCACTGTATTCGGTCCCACCGGAGAACGGTATAGCGAGTCGGCTGCTTCTACTCGAAGCACGTTCCGAATTTCAAAATCGAAAGCACTGAGTTGTGGCGCCCATCGCGTCAGTTTACTGTTCGTACAGCGAGATTGCTGTAACATCGGAGTGAAACGTTATCTGTGAATAACGTCAACTTACCAGATTCAAGATATGGCCTGAACCGGTCAACCACCCAAACTATGGCTAGACATTCACCTTCGACTGTCGAGTATCTTCCCTGTGCTGGATTGAGGTTTTAGCTGGCGAAGGAAATGATTTTCCTATCACCACTCTCCCCCCTCTGGAATATCACGGCACTAACTAAGAATTCACTTGCGTCGGTCTGTAGATTGAATGGCTTACCCGGAATATTAGGGCAGAGCCGTGGGGCGGACACCAAAGACTCCTTCAACTTCCGGAACGCCTCTTACTCAATTTCTGACCAACGCCATTTGGTCCCTTTGGCCAACAGACTCGTGAGTGGTGCTGTGATCTCGGCGTAGTGTGGCACGAACTGACTGTAAAAACCACAAACGCCTAACACCCGTAACACGTCTTTGTCTTCTTTGGAACCGGTAATTCCTGAATTTCCGTCAGTTTTTCCGGTTCCCGGTCTATTCCTTCACCGTCCACGACGTGACCTAGGAATTTGATCTGTGTCACCTCAAATGTACATATTTTCATTTGGCACGTCAGACCGTAAGATTGGAGTCACCCCAAGACTCTTTGCAAGTGGTTTAGATGTTGATCGGCACTCTCAGAATATAAAACAATATCATCCAAATAAACAAACACAAATTTACCAACTAACCCACGGAAGACTTCGCTTACAGAATGTGGCGGGGGCGTTTATAAGTCCAAAAGGCATTACTCTGAACTGGAATAATTCTCTTTGGATTCTAAACGCAGTGAAATGGCGTGTCGGGTGAGAGACTCAGCGGAGAATATCCCGATTTCAAATCCACGGTGCTGTAAATCTTCGCCCCACCCATTCCTCAGACCATATCATGAAGGTCCGGTATCGGGTGAGGTGCATATACAGACAGCGATAGTCAACTCAAAATCAAGCCATACTTTTTCTTCACGAGTACCACCGGTGAAGCTCATGGAGATATGCTAGGTTCAACAAAACTCCGTTCCTCCTTGTCTCGCACCATTTCGGCGATCACCTGGTTTTTCTCTCGGAGTACCCGTAAGCGTTTAGAGCCACCGGATTTTTATCCTTGAGACGGATCTGGTGCTCTATCAAACGAGTTCTGCCTACCTCTCAGGAGAAAGCCTCCGGATATTGGCATACGACTTCTTTGCCGCAAGCACCGTACTCTAATTCGGGAAAACCTGCGGTTGTTTAGTCCACTTCTGCGTTGACCGGAGTTACTGGATTTCTCCAACTCACGGAAACACGTCTTTCTTTCCCCAGGTGGATTATGATACCACTGTAGTCCCATGCGACTTGTTGCTAAACGACTAAGTCATGGCCCAGAAGGACATCTCCAATGAGATCGTCTAACACTACTGCCCTGAAGGTTACCTCCAGGTCCATAATTCGGGACTGAAATTCGGAAAACTCCGCAATTTAACGGGCCCGACCGTCCGCCACTCAGAGCCACCAACGGTTTGACGTATGTAATCGCCATTTGGGAGTCCTGTAGCGCTACTACTGCCCCGAGTGCAAACTCTAGTTTTATGGCCGGTAACGGAACATCCGTTACTTTAGGTTTCCCCGTTGACACCATTGCCATGGCTGGAGACTCTAAGACTCCGGTCCGTAGTTCCAAAAAGCGTTCTCTCAACTCAAACTTTGAGTCCGTATCTGAGTTTATTCTCTTGCACTTTTCCCGTGGATAAAGAATAAACTCCTCGGAAAAATCTTCGGATATAACCGGACAAATTAACAACTCCAGTTTTAACTCATCTTGTTCTGCATCACTTGAAATGCTGTCCATGGCATTTTTATTGGAAAGATCACTCACCTCGGTGAGATTTTCACTTTTGTTCGGAACACATTCGATCCTTAATAATTTTCCCGACCTGTTGTCCAGCTGGTCGGAACCCGTTTCCATCACTGAACCATTTACCCGATCCATTGTCACGAACTATGGTTCCTTTACCGGAACGTCATTTTCAATGGATTTTCTCGGGTGATTTCGACGATTTCTAATGTGTTTCTCCGGAGGCTCGACGGTGTTCACTGGAAAACTAATTACTCTTGAGGTTATCTATGGGTGATCAAAGTTTTTCTCCGGAAGAATTCCGTTCTTACCGGATTTCACCGGTTCGGAACTCTTTTGGCCCGATTTGTTCTGGCCCTTCCCCGAGTCTCTGGTCCTTAACTCTCCGAAGTTCCATTTCATCGGGTCAGTTCTTGTAATTTGTGGTTAATGTAAAGGAAATTTACTCACTGAACACGTTGAACTCCGTTGATTACCTCTCTTAGGACGACTCATGATTTTTCGCCGGTTACTTCCTGGCTGGTCGTTTTGGCGTTTCCCGACTCCGACCATCTTTTTGGACATGCATATTTTCAGTGGACATGACTACCACATACTCTGCATCCTGCTCTCGAAGATAGTCGTTGTTTCGGATTCGACACTTGGGATTTCTCAGCACTCTCAGCTTTTCGTTTATCTGACCAATTTAACTTTGATGGTAGGCTGGTGCTCACTCCCGCCCTATCCGATATTACTGCCTTGCTTCCATCCAGAACATGGCCAAGCGCTCTTAATTCGCTGAACGATTTCAGTCGCTATATACGTGCATGAATTCTAAATTCATCACGTATGAGTCCAATCACTGTCATTACAACTGCTTCTTCTGTCGGGCCAAGGTTTAACCTTCGATACAACTGGTAATTGTGTAAGACGTACTCCCCCAGTGTTTCGGTCTTGGTCTGAGCAGTGCTCAACAATAATCCTGCTTGCAAGCTCGACTGCAACTCACCCTCGTTGAACTTCTCCAATAGTTCGGACCTGAACTCTTGCCTTGGAAAGTCCAACGCTCTCGTGGTTCCCCACCATATTCCTGCCAGGGCCTTCAGCTGAGGGGTCAAAACGGTCACCCATCTAGCCTCGTGGATACCAGTTTCTTCAAGTATTGCCTTGGCCTGGAGCAAAAACCGCACTGGGTCTTCCTCCTTCATACCCGCAAACTTTGGTATGGACGCAAGGGCCATATTCAACTCATTTTGATTTTTGAGGAATGAGCAGGCTATCCGGGAAATGCACGCGTTTTACACCGGAAAAACTACTTCGTAACGCTTCCTCGCGACTTCTGCCGGACACTTCACCTCACACTCCGGACATTTCACCGGACACTCCGGTCCGGTTACCTTAAACTCCGGAGACACTCCGATATCTCTTGTTTTCCCCAGTCAATCTGTTCCGTAAGTTTCACCCATCGGCTTTCAAAACTCACGCCTTGAGTTTTGAATGGACGATTTTGATTTTCATCAGTTCAAATCTGATTTCCTCCGGATATATCGCTTGGTGGACGGTCGTTAGGGATTTCCACGGCAAGAGAAACTTGTTTGCTCCACCCGTTCGGTCGACTTGAGCTCTTCTTCCATACTAATCTAGGATTCAAATTTTCCTTAGCCCTAA